TTGGTCGAGAGGAGTACAATTACAGCGTTAATTGTACTCCTTAATTAAGTTGAATGTACTATAAACAAAAAATCGATTTCCTATACTAATAATATGGTTGATTAAAATTGTGCAATTTGATTGCCTTAGCGGAGTAGTATTTATCCTTAATAGTGGTATTTCAAATTGCACAATTTTATTCAGCCATATTATGAACAAATAATAGCATGTTTTGTACGTGGAATTTGGAAAAATTGTCACAAATTTTAATTGACTATTTATTTTGAAATATCACGCGTGACATTCTCCCAAATATCACTACAAAACATGCTATTACCTATATATACTTATTATCATTATTAGGTCCAACGTTTATTACATTTAGGACCACTATTACACTTAGGTCCAGTTAGAAGATCTAGATTTTCAACATCTACTTTTTAAAACATACCTATGCACCATAATTCAATCAAAGTAATGTTTGAGTGGTTTAGGTTTATAGGTTGAAATGTGGATACCGCAAGATTGTTACAATTGCTGCAAGAAAGACATGTTGGAATTAGCAGTGAATACGACTTTGACGGGTCATTCTCCAGACATTTTTAGGAATATAATTGATTTAGTAAGAAATACATTATGTATGACGTTGTCTAAAAAAGTTATGCTAAAGCGGTTCATCAACCTATCGTGTTCTGTAGCAAGACCAATGATTGACACCAAAAAAACGTACACTGAAGCGTAAGAATTTACGGATATTAGTAAACTACGGGAAAAAAGACTGATCTGCTTTGGTAACTCCCAATTATGAAGGTAATACAATGAATCATAAAACCAGTCGAGTATTTCAGCTTTATAGCCATTGTTTTGTATTATTTGTTTGTCTGACTATATAGTAGTGATGGGAACTAGCAGTAAACTAGTGTGAGCTGCGTCGATGTTTGTAAAGAAACAGTTGTGTAAAAAGATAAATTTGACACCGTAAAAAAGTATGTGAAATAACTTAATGACGTTTCGGACGTTAATCCTTCGTCGGAGTAAAAACGCACTCAATGTATGATTTTTTAAGGTGACCCCAGAGTACAAAAAAATACCTCAAGACTATTCATTCGTATATGGAAAGGACTAACTAGGTAACATGGTACATGAGATTGAAATTACCTTTCACGCATTAAATTTAAAAAGAAAATCATTTTCAACCGAAAGGGAACATGCTGTTTGGCATTTCTGTGTAGAAATAGAAATTGAGTTGGATTTTCGAAGTTATGGGCATTGATTGAAAATTAATAATGCGAAAGTGATCTCACTGTTTTAGACTTTTTCTATGGTTTGGGTCGTTTATGCTTCATATCAGGGAGCTCAGAGGAAAATTACAAGAAATGACCGCAGTGCTCCCAGGCTAAGCACTTGTGTTCCTTTCACACGGCGAAGTCTTGGTATTGAGTGTTTGGCGGCTGAACCCCAGATGAAACCTCAACTTTTCTTCTTCTTTATTCCTTGATATTTTTCAAAACTTATTATAAAGTTATTATCCATGAAACGCCTATACTTCCCACTTTCTAAAAATTGTAATTTTCACAGACACATTTTGACTCATTCAAAACGCTATTTACTACACAGCTTCCTGGATAATAGCACATCTAATTTCATAGGGAAAAAAACATTTGTTTCATCGCTTGCCCTTTTCATTTACTTCGCATTTTAAATACGAGTGCACAAGCCCAGTTTTAATTTCTGAATGGAAACTCTTTGTAGGGCCATTTTGGGAAAAAGTCAACGCTAATCCTGTTTGTTTTGGGGCAAGAGACGACACATTTGGCAGTTTTCTGATCAACGTAACGCGCGGATTGATCAACGAGGTAAAACTGGTCCATTTGTCTGGAGGTGTAACTTGCAAGAAAGGACAATTGAGCAATTGGGGATGTGGCGACGGGCTAGCTACTGTATTCACAGACAAAAGCAACAACAGGCTCGCTCCTAAGGGTCGCTGGATCGTGGATTGAAGTAAGTTGGTGTTCAAAATTCCAAGTTATGATCCCTTTATTTCAGCAAAGCTTAAGATGAAGTTGACAACACCTATCAACATAACCGCTGGTCAAGAGTATCGCTTGTGGTACGGCGAAGATTTCAAAAATGTTTCGGAAGGTGATAACAGTGGTACTGCCTGTGTGGACGTCCACATGTACGGACTGTATTAAAAGCCCATTGTGGTACTGCACGTACGGCTTTTCCTAACTTATTTAAACATGATCTGCTCTTTTAAATGTGCTCTGTATTAGATGCTCTGTATTCAGACAATAACAAAAGAAACCATTGTTGAGCAATTTTAATAGTACAGAATACCTNATGAACTAATTACTAAAGTGTGCAAAATACCAGTGCTAGCTGAATAATAGAAATTTTTAAAGGGAGTCTACAATTTTTTTTTCACATTCCTAACATCTTGGTATCAAATGTTCCGGTTCCTTGGCTCCAAACACTGATGAGCTTGAATGTGTTTTGAACAACAATGGTGTTGACATTGCCTGTATTTCTGAAACATGGCTTGATGACGAGGTTCCTGACCAGGCGGTCGCAATAAAGGACTTCTCGTTATTCCGGAGAGATCGAGAATCACGTGCTGGTGGAGTTGCCGCTTATGTAAGATCAAGCATCCCGTGTGCGCGCCTACCTCAGTACGAGCTTGTAGGCTCATTAACAGAAACGTGTGTCCACGATATTACTAGGCATTGTTTACCACAAAATTTCTACTCTTGTGCAACGAACCTTTATCAAAGGACGCTGTTTATCGTCTTCAAAATAACTGAAAATCGCTGTGTTTCTAGCTCAATGTGCGGAATTTGAGAAATGATCTTTGAAAAATCAATGACATGTAAGGAAACACGATCAGCTGCGGTGAAATTTCGCTTCTTCGCGGATTTTCACCATGAAATACAAGGGCAAAGGAGAGGACGAAAGGAAAAGAAAATTGTCAAAAAGGACGCTCTTAACAATTTCGTGTTTATTTGGCTGTTCTACAATGGAATCAAGAATAGTTTACCTCTAGGATTTCATCTTGGAAAACGTTCCAGGTAAAACAGATCAAATGTTATTCTCAAATAGTTTTTTTGATCCGTACATTTCTTTGTAAAATTTAACAAACATGTTTTTGTGCGTTATGCGAAGTACCGCTGCTATTGCGGGCTCGTATATCCGGATTTTCTGGCCATGAAAGAATTTGAACAAAAAACACAGTCAAATTAAATTTCTTGCGGCCAGTTGACAGTTTTAAGAATTAGAAAGTCAATCCCTTTTTGCATTTTTGCAACATTTTATGATGTCAAACGAAGGATTGTTCCTTGGAATTGCAAAACATGAGCCGGTCATTCATATCGCTGATGTGATTAACATGTCTTTTCGGAGACTGCCGTAAGGTATGTTTGTGCTTTCTCGTAGAAAACTGAACTTAGTTTTCTCTTAATAAGCTCTAACTGGCTCGGCAGTTGAATTGGCAAGTTAAATTGAATTTGTGAGTAGGTGGTTAGACGACTCAGTGGCTCGTTCTAGCAGKCTCTCCTTTTTCCGCTTCAAAACCCAACATCACTCATCATAGGGCCAGCTTGGATAAATGTCAAATCGAGCCCAGTCAGTTTTGGGACCATAAATGATGCATTTGGAAGCTTTWTGATCAGACCGAGAAGTGGACTGGTGACTGCTGTGCGTTTTATCCATGTTTCAGGTAACGTGACATGCGATCCAAGATTCCAATTATCCAATTGGGGATGTCCAGCCAACCTATTAACGATACTTACAGATAAGGAAAACAACAGACTTGCTCAGCAGAAAAGTTACATCATCCTTTGGGTATGGCTTGCGTACACACTCCCAAAATATGATTCATTTTCGCCAAAAGTTGAACTGGACTTGATAAAGCTTATCAACGTAACCGCTGGTCAAGAGTTTCGCTTATGGTATGGCGAGGACCTCAAAAATGCTCATGAACATGATAATAGCGGCACAACTTGTGCTCATGTATACATGTATGGAGTGTATTAATTATTAGCTTTAGAACCTGAAATATATTATCTATAAGCATTGAATACTTCATCTTACAGGCAGCCGTGTCTTTTATCTTTTTCCTGATACTCTGTCTRAACTCTCATGATCTATTTCATCCACCATAACCTTTTCTGAAATACCAAATAATGTTGTATTGCGGTCTAGCTTAGGTACAAAAAGTGCCATATTTGGCAGCATGAACAAGCGATGTTTKTACCGAACTTTAGACTACAAAGCAATGCAGAGTTYCTATCTCARTTGCTTTTAAAATGCACAGTGAAACAATGGCTGCGAGTATTAAATAATCATTATTAATTACTTAATTGAAATTGATAATGCCTCCTAATACATATTCAATAGACCTCTTGAACTTCATGGGAATGCAGCTCCAACTGGAGGACAAAACAATAGATTCTAGTTCCCAAGAGGATAAAMWTCTTTTGTTTYGYCSTYSAGATGAAGCTGCTTTGACGTCACATGCAAGGGGTCTATAGACCTTTTCGCGGTGAAAACCAAAGCGGACAACATTCCTTTGCTGAATCCCTCAAAAGAATTGTGACGTCACTTTTGGCACACACCCGATAAGTTATGCAAATGACAGGGGTCTTTTTGGCAAAGTCCAGGAATCATTAGCTTAATTCCTTGAGCGCCAAGTCGTAATGTCGCCTTAAAAGAAATGATTTTGACGGCTATCGCATGTTTACTCTAATTCTGGCACCAACTTGACCTTCCCTGAACTCTAGATATGTAACAGAAGAAAACAATTGAGGTTTGACCGCTACAATGAAGGTATGATTGAAAGCAATATGACCTATGACCTTGAGTATTTTAGTAGGTGAGCGATAAAAGTAGAATACCTGGCTTATAAAAATAGTTAATAGAAGTGCAGATATACCTTTTTCAAACTAGACTCTTCGAGCGTGAGGTGGGGCCATCTTTTTTGGACAATTCAATGGGTGCGCGGATACGAGAACGAGTGAAAGAGTTATTTTACACGATAAGATAAAATTCGTATCTCCAATCGACCATGTAATATTCTACCTGTCATATGATTATATATGTAAGCAAATTATTGCGCAGAATACCCTTTTTACTTCTAATATATAGTGAAAGCAAAAATGCGTTACTTTTAGCAAATGTTTATTAATCAATTAATGTGTAGTTCAAAATTCTAATTGTTTATTCACGCGCCGCGATATTCTTTTCTGACGCCTTGGAAGCAAACAATAATAAAAAGCTAAAAACTATTGAATTTTTTTAAATCAATTTTAAAACTTTTTCCAAAATTTTGCGCCACTGATGTGGTTATGGATTATACTGATGTCAATTCAATTCGCTCATAAGAGGCCTAGCTCTGCAACTCTTTTTTTATATAAAATTAAGACCTTCGATAGTGGCTAATCATACATTTTTGTTCTCATTACACTTGCTAACGCATGCATTTCATTACTTAATAGCATGCAATAACAACGAAATGGTTATGCTAAGAAAAGATTTAATGGAAAGCTTGCATAACAAAAATAACTCTTTCAAAGCCTTCMCAGGTTATCATTKCTTATTCCTATGTATATTGTCAATGAAAGATGACTCTATTATAAATTTAACTGCGAAGTATTGTTTTAATGTTCTAAATGTGTACAATAATTTAGACAGCTAGTATATCTTTTTGTTWAAGTTAATTTTTATGTTCTAATGTACCATTTCTGGTATTTACGGAATAAAGAAYTATTATTATCATTTTGACGTCATTTGTGTATCTATAGATGAACGATAAAATGGAACCTATTTGTAGTTCAGATCATGCATTGAAAAGTGTAGAATTTATTTCCGAAAACGTATAGTTATATTTTCCTGTTGTATATAAATAAAAAATGATATGCGACTTGTATTGTTTGTGAAAGTYGCCAAGAATAGAGGGTGGTTACATAAACAATCGCCGACTATAGATCTATAGGTGTTTGAATAGTTAAGTTACCAAAATATTAAAAGCGTTAATTGAAGTGCCCATATATAAATTTAAGTG